GAGGGTGGTTGTTTTTACTTCTGAGGTTTCTGGCTTCCTAGCAATCTGGGGTCTCATTTGGTGATACCAACCAAAACCTAATACGGTTTTTATTGTTGTGTTTCTTCCTGATGTGTACCGTTGGTTAGATCAAAGATGAGAAGATCAAAAAGGACAAAGAGCCCAGAGAAGAAGTGAAGAGCTTCCTGGATGGAAAGAAGGGGTTTACAGAAGTGAAGTCGCAGAATGGAGAATTCATGACCCACAAGCTTAAACACACCGAGAATACCTTCAGGTAAGACGTAGTGGCTCACAGCGACTGTGTTCACATGTGAAAAACAAATCAGCCTCCTATCCTGTGCTTCTGGACAGAAAGTGCTGAACAGGCAACTTGCTTTTGTTGTGAGGTCATTGACCATTGTCTCAGGGATACTCAGTCAGCAGGCCGGGCTATCAGTCACTAACAGAAGACCACGGTTATTGCTCAGGCAAAGTGTAATCCACCTTTCCCATAATTGAGCAACGTAGGTTAGGCTTGGCATCCAAGCTTTTGTCCCTGATCTGATATGCTCATGGAAGATCAGTGTGGTAGAAAACAGTATGCCTGGAATTCATATCTTTGATTCATTCTCTATATGGTCCAGGCAACTTCATAAGAGACCTTCTCAATACCATTTTCATAATTGTATTTTCTAAAGGTTGTGGATAAATACTGCATGAAACTAGGATTGTTCTGTGGCCAAATATTTGGGAAACATTCGGTTAAACTGAGTCAATAATTTCTCTTTGCCACAGGACTTGGAAAGCACTTGGTGTTAGTTTGTGTTGGGAACCTCTGAGAGGGAAGAAGGCATCCGACTAATACTCCAGTTAGAACCCCTCTTGCATAGCTTCAGCTTCTCCTCATCCCATTATGTTGAAAATCTGGGCAACTGATTTTAGGACAAGTAAATGAAAATTTAGAGTTCCCAACCAATTTTGTAGAAGGACTCAAGTTGCAGATGCCCACTAAGGGCAATTCTCCGGGCCCCATTCCTGCTGTGCCCCATGTTCTGGAAGAGTCTGGGTCCGTATAATGTGGATTTCCACGCAGCCTTGCCTGTAGACCCTGTGTTTCTGAACACTTCAAATAAGAAAGTCCCAAGCAGGTATTGTGTAGAAGTCAGACACGGGCCTCACAATGAAGCCTTTGTCACATACAGAAGCAAGCACAGCTACTGGGGAGGGATGTGTCCAGCCCCTCTAAGAAGCTGAGATGGGTCAACATAATTGACCCAAACAATTTTTCTATTCAAAACTTTGAGCAGAAAGCGCATCATATTTAACCAATAGAAAGCCTAAATTGACAAGAAAGTAGATATGAGCCCAAACTGGTTTGGCTCAGTGGATAGAGCATCACCCTGCAGACTCAAGGGTCCCAGGTTCGATTCCAGTCAGGGGCATGTACCTTGGTTGCGGGCATATCCCCAGTAGGGGGTGTGCGGGAGGCAGCTGATCGGTGTTTCTCTCTCATTGATGTTTCTAACTCTCTATCCCTCTCCCTTCCTCTCTGTAAAAAAATCAATAAAATATATTTTTAAAAAAAGAAAGTAGATATGAAAACTTAAGAGTTTATCAGGAATTTATGGAAAATCTAGAAAGCAAGTTGATTCGGGCAGGTAAGCCGAGCCCTGAGCTTGCTAAGTGTCAGCAGGTTAATGTTTTTAAGCCCTAGAACAGCATCAAGTTCATGGGACTTGTTCAGTGAACATTACCTAACAGTGTTAGTGTTTTGTTGTTTGATAGTTTAAAACCTGTTTTGTGGGAATGAATACATTTTTTGTTAAGAGAAATAATGCTTTAAAAAACATCTGTCAGTATAAAGTTTGGTTAACAATTAGCAAGCTTGCCAACCAGCTTTAGCCAAATTCAAATTAATAATTAACATGTCCATTGTGTGGAAATCCAGGGAGTTGGGTAATTCCACCAAGAGAAAAGTCAGCAGGGATGCCAACAGGTTGCACACTGAGGACTCTAAAATGCGACTCTGATTTTCATCTTTGGGCAGACAAAAATGACAGAAACATAAAGTTTTTGTTTAGCTGCCAACATGTGTTAGTTTTAGTTTCAATAGAAATCGGTGATGATAGAAGCGGAAATGCCTGGTTTTGCTCCACGAAGTGAGGAGCTGGGGAGGAAGAGCCTCTATTTAGATTGGCAGAATGTCTACCAGCCTAACTGAAAACAAGTTGTGTGTTTTTAGAAAATGTATTTTTTAAAATATATTTTATTGATTTTTTACAGAGAGGAAGGGAGAGGGATAGAGAGTTAGAAACATCGATGAGAGAGAAACATCCATCAGCTGCCTCCTGCACACCCCCCACTGGGGATGCACCTGCAGCCAAGGTACATGCCCTTGACTGGAATCAAACCCGGGACCCTTCAGTCTGCAGGCCGATGCTCTATCCACTGAGCCAAACCGGTTAGGGCTATTTATTTATTTTTGTTAATCCTCACCCGAGGATATTTTTTCCATTGATTTTTAGGAAGAGTGGAAGGGAAGTGGGGGGAAGAGAGAGAAAAACATCTATACGGTTGCCTCCGGCAGGCTGGGGAGCAAACCTGCAACCCAGATACATGCCCTTGACCGGGAATCAAACTTACAACCCTTTCAGTGTGCAGTCCGAGGCTCTACCACTGAGCCACACCAGCCAGGACACAGCTGTGTTTTTATTGGTGAAAGGTCTGATGTTCTTGACTTAAAACCCAATGAAGCCAAGGATAGCAGAGAGAGCCTTCTAGAAAAAATGTTCATATTACTCATGACACCCTAATGCTAAGGGCATGCCAGCACATGTGAGCAGAGGTAATATGGCAAAACTTTTGTTCCTGTTTTGAGCATAATTCCTGTGTTTGATTTAATTACTATCCCCTTTGATATTTCTGTTTTCTTATAACTAGATCATTTTCTCTAAGACATAACATAAAAATCTCAAAGCAAGGAACAAGTTTATAGAGCTAGAGTATACCAAGGTTTTATAGAGAGTACAGAACAAGCGTTTGTTTTCCTTTCTTTTTATTTTTTATTTGGGAATTAAAGTTTTTTATGATTATCAGAAAAATTGTACTCATTATAAAACATTCAGAAAATAGAAGTACAAAAATAAGTAGCCACCACCCAAAGATAACATTAGTAACATTTTTGAGGATATTTTTTATGTATATACATTCAAAATAGACACTCATCTATAGGCAACGTGTATATGTGGGTGTAATTATAAATCTACATTTTAAATTGATTCTTGCATTAGCATAGCAATGCACCTTAGCTAGCCTTCTATACCGACAAACATAAGTCTACAGCGAAGGATGTTAGCCTGTTCCACTGGATGAAGTGTGGTGATTTATTTAACCAGTCCCTAATGGTGGCATTCTGCATGTCCAAAATGAAGACTGAGCGACATCTAGTGGAATCTAGAGAAGTTTATACAAGGCATGTGTTACGCTCGTCCAATTGAGCACTAGCATAATGAACACAACAGAGCAAATGTCTCCGAAGATGGAAAGACCTTAGATTAACTGAGAAGCAGATTTCCTCTCTGAAGTCACAAGCCTATAAATCTAGAAGACCTGAAAGAGCAACATCAAGTTTTAAGGGGCCGTCTAACTTTGATTGAGTCCAAAATAAAAGAGTTCACTTTTTTTTAACCATCAAGTGCCTAGAATAAGATTTTTTTTATTATTGAATTTGAGAGAGAGAGGAAGGGAGAGGGAAGAGTGGGAGAAACATCGATGTAAGAGTGAAACATCGATTGGCTGCCTCCTGCACTAACCCACTAGGGACTGAGTCAGCAACTGGCATGTGCCCTGACCAGGTACCAAACCAGAGACCTTTCCATACATAGGACGATGCCCAACCAACTGAGCCACACCAGCCAGGGCTAGAATACGATTTTGAAGTGTTTTAACCTCAGCTCTTAGTAAGAAATAAATTTTACATCATGACCCAGCCAGTGATGTCTACATGCATAACTGGAACCAGCATGTCAAGAAACGGTCATTTCCTTTGCTCTCTGCAATGCACTCTGATGTTTCCTAGTTCATTTTTTGTAAATGCTGATTACAGTCCACTGAATTGATTTCCTGACCTGCAGCTTGAAAAGCGTCATTCTAAAGGGCACAGTATATTCAGAACCTCAGTGTTTTAAAAGCATGTGATGTACACATAAGTTCAATATTAGTAATTGTGTCATCTTGAACTATTTTCTGTTTTATTCTTCCTCTTGCTCCATAGCTAGAAACACTGTGCCATTCTCCACATGGAATAAATGGTGCTAGACAGTGGTAATTCATCTGTTACTCAGACAAAAGTGTTGGACACGAGCTACCTATATTCAGATCTAGTTAAGAATGCCCTCACTACTTGTTCATTAGTATTTAAATAAGATTTTTTATGGCTAAATAATATTCCACTGTAAATATGTACCACGTTTTTTACCCATTCATCCATCAGTGAACACTTAGGTTGTTTTCATATCTCGGCTGTTGTAAATAATGCTGCAGTGAACATGGGGGTGCTGATATCATTTGGAATCAGTGTTTTCCTTAATTGTGGGGTCATGTGGGAGTTCTGTTTTTAATGTTTTAGTGTTGCACCACTTTACAATCCCACTTGCCCCCACTGTATAGCTGAGAAAACCAGGGTAAGTGGCAGAGCAGGGACTCAGATTCAGACCTGGAGATGCCAGCTGGGCCCCAGCCTGCCCCGTGGGTGGGTGTGAGGATCTCCTGCCCAGTGACGGGTAGTGGAGATTTCTGTGTGGGAGGCCAAGCCTGCAGGCCCACATCCCCTCCCTCCAGGAAAGGCTGCAGGCGGACATGTGTCAAACCCCTTTGCATCCCTTTCTCTCCCCCCACCAGCCGCTCTGGAGGGAGGGCCAGCGAGGCCAAGGAGGCGGAAGGGGCTCCCCAAGTGGAGGCTGGCAAGCGCCTGGAGGAGCTGCGCCGCCGTCGTGGGGAAACTGAGAGCGAAGAGTTTGAGAAGCTCAAACAGAAGCAGCAAGAGGCAGCCCTGGAGCTGGAGGAGCTGAAGAAAAAGAGGGAGGAGCGAAGGAAGGTCCTGGAGGAGGAAGAGCAGAGGAGGAAGCAGGAGGAAGCAGAGCGGAAAGTCAGAGAGGAGGTAAGGAGAGCGCAGCCCGCCCAGCCACCGGCACCCCGACTCACCCAAGCCCCTGAATGCCTACCTCTGGTGACCCTTCTGGCCCAGGGGACAATTTCTTCCCTGGTGAAATGAAATGCTGCTCCTCTTTTGAACATGGACTCTACGAATACATTTTAAGGATAATAAACTGTGTGCTAAGCATGGTCCCAAAAGCTTTATACACATTAATTTATCCAATTCTCACCACAACAGGTAGTCTTGTCCCCATTTTACAGATGAGTAAAGTGAGGCACAGAGACATGTTTTTCTGTTTGTTTTGTAATTTTCCCAAGGCCCCACTTGTCTTACTCCATTACCCTATACTGTCCCTCCATAAAGAACTGTAGAGAGCAGAGAAGGATGAAAAAGGGTCTGCAGATTAGTTACAAGAATCAAGAGTCACATGATGGTTGTTTTTTTGGACATTTGAAGAATTTTTATAGAGAAGTTTTTAAAAATAGGTTTTGGGCTTTTTTAGTGAAAGAGTCTAGATGTTCACAGTCAGGGGACAGTATGTGCTCTGTTCATCGCTGTATACCCAGGACACAAGCACAGTGCCAGGCATGTAGCAGGAACCCAGTAATTATGAGCCCATGAATTTGTCCCATATTTTAAGACAGAATTGAAAACAACACATAAAGTTACCAAAAGGCTATTTTGAAAACTGAAAAAGTGCTTAACCACCTACAACTTACATTGCTATTTTTTATAAGGTGCCCATTTTTCTTTCATCCTGAGGTACATCATTATTCTCATTTTATGAGCAAAGAAATGGAAATCCAATAGTTTTGTTATCAGTGGGGTGCTCTCTGTGTCCCCACTGGTTGCCAAAGGAAGTGGGCTTCTTGGGGTGCAGCTGGAATAAGAATTTCCAGAGGCCCCATGGGAGGATGAGGTATCGTGGAAAGTTTTATTTCTGTGGAATTAAACCCCTGAGTTTCCAAGGTCCCATCTCCCTCCATCCGCCAAGGAAAGAGTCCCGTTTCGTCCTCAGCAGAGCGAGGATTAAGGCCAGTGTCCAGAGTTTCCGTTCCGTTTCACAGTCCAGGCCAGCATCAGGCTAGCTCAGCTTGTGTTCCCAGCTGCAGTCCATTGCATGTGCGGTTCGCATGTTTGTGGGCCATGCATGTGGCTTCTAGGGCCACATAAATATGGAGGGAACATGGGTGAGTGCAAGAAGCAGGAGCAAAGCAAGAGAAACAAGAAAGAGAGAATCCCTTTGTCTCAGGGTTTTAACCTAAAATTTCGCACTTAAAGTGGCTCCAGCCCTCCAGCCAGTTATCTTTGTTTCCAGGTTAGACTGCCAGGCAAGCACCTTCCCTACGTCACCCCGACTTTACTGCACGTGCATCCTCCTTCTCCTTTGTCCCCCAGTGATTTGCAGGGAATAGACCACTGGTTCACTGTGGAGCATGAAGTTGCAGCTTCCTGGTGAAGCTGCCCAGATGACCATGCTTATAATGCCTGGCTTCCCCTTTGCTCCTTTCCTATTATTAATATTAATGATTAGCTAATTACAGTGAAAATGGTTTGAGTGGCTTGTGTGAAGTTACTTGACTAATACGTGGTCGGACCCAGCTTCTGCACATCAGCCTGGAACTCTTCTCACTGATCTTAGGGAACATTGATCTCCCATCATCCAAAAGATGCAGAAAGACTTCGTTTCTTTCTGACTTGGGTCCTATGTAAACATTCCCTAAACTGTGTGGAAAGTTTGGATAAATGGTTCCAAAATCTCTTCCAAGTCCAGCTGTCCATGCGCCAATGATCTCTGGTTGGGAAGTAATGGGGATGAAAGAGCGTTAGAACCAAAGATACCTGGGCTCGTATCCTGATAGCTGCTTGCAAGCTGGGACCTTGGGAGAGTTACTGGACGACTCTGAGCCTTCTCTTCCTTATCTGTGAAACACCTACTTTCAGGATCGTTGTGATGACTAAATAGGTCAGGGGTCCTCAAACTTTTTAAACAGGGGGCCAGTTCACTGTCCCTCAGACCGTTGGAGGGCTGGACTATAGTTTTAAAAAAAACTATGAACAAATTCCTATGCACGCTGCACATATCTTATTTTGAAGTAAAAAAAAAAAAAACGGGAACAAATACAATATTTGTATTTGCATGTGGCCCATGGGCCATAGTTTGAGAACCCCTGAAATAGGTCATTGTATTCACAGTGCCTGGTACATCATAGGCCCTGAGGAAGTGGCAGTTATAATCATTTTTGTCATTGTTATTATTAGTTAGAGGAGATTACCAGTGAAGGCAGAATGAATTCTTAGGATTGGATTGAGTTGGAGATTATTTTTTCTCACCTCCTGCCAATAAAACGTAGACTGCATGGCTTAAAGGCTACAGAAATTATTTCTCTCAATTCTGGAGGCTGAGAAGTCCAAGAACAAGGCCTGCAGGTTCTGTGCCTGGTGAGGGGAAGCTTCTGGTCATAGATGGCCATTATCTCGCTGTGTCCTTGCATGGTGGAAGGAGCCAGGGAGCTCTCTGGGGTCTTTTTTTTAAGGCACTAATCCCGCTCATGAAAGCTTCACCCGCAAGACCTAATCACCTGTTAATGTTGTCACACTGGGGGTTAGGATTTCAACCTATGAATTTTGGGGAGACACAAACATATAGTCTATAACACACAGAATCCTTCTGCAACATCCTCTGACAGGTGGACATAAATTCTCTTCTTGAGAACGTCCAGTGAAACAGATCTCACAATTTGAAAATTACAAAAGATAACCTAAATCTCTCAAAGTTGTTCACAGAGGATGTGCGACTTAATCAGAGATCTGGAGTTTTTGCCTGAGAGAGAAGCAGGGGACACTATTTTAGGCAAGGAATGAAGGCACAGAGGGGTATTGAGACAGGTTGTGAATATATGTGATTTCACCACTATGGTGCAGTACCTACCTCATTTCAGGTTTGATAAAACCATCTAAAATAATCTACTCTGTTGAGGTGGGCACAACCATAAAATCATCTCTTGTACAATTTGACAAATGTGGTACCACAGATTTATATAACTTTGCACATAAGTTGTCTCACTTGTCTTCACACTCTCCTAGGAACTAGAAAGGTGAGGTTTACATGAATTTCACATAATTCAGAAGTGAAAGGTCAATGTTTAATGACTTGACAGGACGATGATAATGGTGATCACCATACTGAGCACTCACCTAAGCATTTTTTTAAATATATTTTATTGATTTTCTACAGAGAAGAAGGGAGAAGGATAGAGAGTTAGAAACGTCGATGAGAGAGAAACATCGACCAGCCGCCTCCTGCACGCCCCCCAGTGGGGACGTGCTCGCAACCAAGGTACATGCCCTTGACCAGAATCGAACCCGGGACTCCTGAGTCCGCAGGCCGCCGCTCTATCCACTGAGCCAAACCGGTTCGGCCACCTAAGCATTTTACATGGGCTCATTAAAGCCCTGTTCAGTGGGTTCTATTATTATCCCCATTTTACAGAGGAAGAGACTGAGGCACAGAGCAGATAAGTAAATGTGGTCAAGGTCGCAGTTGGGAAGTGGCAGCACCAGGTTTAACCTCTAGTGACCACCCTTGAGGACCCAGCACATTCACTCTAGAACCTGGGTCTTTTTTCTCGGGGTCTTGTGTCCTTTCTTCTACAGCACCCATTCCCCTGGGCTTGAACCTGATGTTGATGTCTTTGTCACTTGCTC